TAGATGACATTTCAAGTTGTCCTTGTTGTATGCAAATTAAGTAGAGACTGGGTTTTCAAAATAGCACATTTAAATGTCATATTTAAAGCATGAAAACCCTTAAATCATTTTATATGCGTATTGTCACCCCGCACAGTAATTACCTGTAAGTGTGCATGATCGTCCTTTCCTCCCTTTTTAGTTGATGGGGTTGATTCCCGGTACAGAAATTAATCAGATTTGGTTCTAAGCCTACGGAATCTCGTTCTGAATGACTTACTCCAAGTTATTGTGTTAATTTCCGAAGGAACTTAAAGACTGAAATTTCAAAAACCTCCAATTTATACTAGAAAGCACACAGGAGGGCTGGAGGATCCCCTTTTGAGTCAGAGCGTTTGCATCTGCATCGTACAGAAGCAGAATATCGGCAAAACACGTGTCTGCACTTTTAGCTAGAACCTGTTGCATCAATATGGTGACTCATGTAACACCGTTTATACCAAGAAGACCTGTACACCGACAAGTTTTTGAACTCCCCGATCCTCCAGAATGTTTCCAGTGGCTGATAAAGGCTCGATGACTGACACTGACCCAGACAGTGAGTCCATCTGTGTTCTGTCCGTTTGGGAAAAGGTTATCAAGTAATTTGCTTAATCTATCCCGATTAGCGGCTACAAGTTATGTAAACACGTATGCGCGTTTCGGGAGTGATGAATTTAGAGAACCACCGGCATTGATGTTATTAGGGAGACCACAGCATTTTGCAACAATGTTTGACTCGCAGAAGTAATTCATCTGGTCTACTGAAGTTGCAAAACTCTCAGCGTAGTTGGCAGCTGATTGACAGCAAGGTAAGTAATCAGTTCTGAAGTGTTCTCTGGGGCACTTCGGTAGAAGCAGAGGATTGTGCGTGAGTCTGCATATGGAGCTTTTTGTCCGTTAACGGGGATGCAAGAAGCCTGACCAATTTTGCTGCATGACCACATTTAGGCCTGGACCAATCAGCCATATTCTGTAATTTGGACAATCTACTTTCGTGCCATGTCACGTCTACCGATTATTCTCTAGTGCAGGCCGTCGCACACCGAAACAAACATTTCAGCTCATGCAAATGCGCAGACAGTAGTGTGGCGGCACGTTAAATAATGTCAGCCAGAGGCGATCTGGGAAAATCACCCGTCCACTACGAAAACCATCGTGTTTTGGACATTATCCGGAATCTAGGACCTTTCGAATTATTGCAAAGCCGAGGGCAATAGATATCTTGACGGCAGCGTCGAAAAAGGCCTGCCATCCTTTGCAGTCATTGCTGTGCGCCGATCGTCGGTTCTTTGGCACTGTCTCTCCGCTTCAAATCTGGCAACTACTTGCATAAACTGCGGGGTGTTTGGGCTTCTCCGGCAACCAAGTTAACTCCGTCATTGTCGTAGTATTGGCGGCTGGCGTTGGTCCGCCCTTAGAACTACTATGCGTACCAGGATCATATAAATGAAGGACCAGCTGGACGCAGGCGTAGTTTATCAAATTCTCGAGAATGCGGACAATGACTTGAATCGGCATAAAGGCAGGACGGGAACTACTGGCCACCTGGGCCTCTGACAGCATTTCCATAAACAGGCAAGTTAACACATCCTTTTTGCCGCGCGAAACACTCAAGCGCGCAAATGGTGGGCCCAGTTTACAGTCAAGGATGCCCATCATCTCCACGCTTTAGGACCACAGTGAATTATGCGGTTACGGACGCTGTGCCCTCCCCCATGTTTCGACTACAAAAACTATCCGGTTCCTGTCGCACTCTCATAGCCGCTGACGATTGACTTCTGTACGATTCCGAAACCTCAGGGTAGTACATCTAGTGTTCGAGTGGGCGTGCTGTCACCTTTGCATCAATAAACTTGCTCTTTTATATTCTCGCCTCCATTCGCCAATTTTAATTAGCTAGTCTGTGTTTTCTGCCAATGTGGATGACGCTGTAACCAGTTTCTGGAACGTTCTGCCAATAAATGTTTATCTGCCAAAAGCCCTATTCTAGTATGCGTTAGCCCGCGTCTCCTGACGGTCGTGACCTTCCTGGGCTGTCTGTCCTCACTTCGAAAATTAAATAGCTCACCGTATTTTAAAACACCGTTCATGATTTCCGCTAACCCAACGAACCTGTTTTTATTTTATCTGGTATAATTCCCCCAACATGCCATAAGATATTACGGCGTAATAAATAACTTCATCATCAAATGAGTTAACCTGGTAGTAGAGAAGAGGAAGAAAACTTCAGAAAGGTGTGCATTTTCAGAATGAACGAATATTTCTCCAACTAGGTTCCTAAGTCTTCTTCGTACTTTGCCTCTTATTCCTATTCCTTGTCTGCCAAGGATTGGGGAAATTTTAAACTCCTCACTGGCCATAGGCTATCGCTAGTCCACACTGATAATGCTTGCATGAACTCAAGCGAAAAGTGGTCTTCAGGCAAGTATGACTACACCAAATCGGGCTCTTTATAGTCACCGCACACTCCTGTGGCTGAGACTTGTCTACATAAAATTCTTGATTAAACGTCCTCCGTGCTCGGCAGTATCATCGTTAATTGCCTACTGTGTTTCCCTTAAAAAGGGAGTTAGGATCGCTGGAAACAGAATTGTATTTGTCTGACGTTGCTGTTCAGTCATGAGCTCGTCATCAGCGACAGTCGCCGATAAGCGCGACGGCAATGTAAGGAGTGCTGTATGTATGGGATGCTGTTGCTAAGACTGAGTCATTTCATATGAATGACTCACAGTCGTCCATCGGCTGCCTATCCGTGAAATATTCTGATGTATCAGTCTCTATTTATTCAGTCAAAAACTATGGCGATCTCCTATTTTTTAAAAATATCTCTAAAAGTAATACCTCAGCGTGGCTATCATAAAACAGCCTTCTTCTTGCTATTCAGGAATTCGTTCCATGCTCTTTTGGGCTATAACCATCTCCGATCACCTACCCCTCTAATTAACGTCCCGATATAGTTTTGATTGAATTTCGGTCCTCTCAGTATGAATTCCATTTTAACATGGTTCACAAGTGTATGTGTTATACTTGACGTTTGCCTTCATATACCAATTAAAAACCGCTAATCTAGCGATTTGTGAAAGCTCTGCTCCAACGTTTTCGCATTACTGTAAAGTAATTTGGTATAACTTGAGGTATAACTTCGTGCGTTGTCGTCTATTACTGCTGTTTTCTATTTTTTTCCAGTCAACACATCAGTGCCCTTTCCAGACCGCGTTATGCGACTAGCCCCCGTCACTTTGAGTGCATGGTCCCGGAATGAATCTATTTAGACCAACACGGTTTCGGCGCATCTCCTGTAGAACGTCATATTTTTGATTACCTTTAATTCCACCTTTGACATGATTTCGATGAGTCGGGAGACTGATACACAAAAACTGGCTTCTATCTTTCCACCGTGAATGCAATGCGATTTTATCCAACGCTCGCTACGTCTTGAATTTTCCCCTGCTTATCTTCGAAAAACTGTTCCTAGGTTACTTTTTGTTGAAGAAGACTCCCGCAGCAAAACAAGGTGCATATCACTCTGTCAGATACTGATCTTTCCATTCATGCCCAATTTGGTTTTCTTAAATTCTGTCACAGTTCATTGTCATCCTCTAGGTTTAAAGTTCATGGACTCTACTTACTTTGAACCCCAACTTTGTTATTGCACTCACTCCTCATCTATAATATGCTTAACTGCCACGTACCCAAAAGCGTTGATCCACCCTATATAGCAGCTGACCGTAGAGAAAGCGTCCTTAGGTCTCTTAATGGCAAGCAATTTATGCCTTGGCAGATACTTGTGTCGTCTAAATTTGTCCTAAGTTCAAATGAACCACGTATTTTACAATAAAGTGATTGTAATACTGTTACTGAAACATATTTTTCATAATTATCCGTTCTTTCCAAAGTAACTTACCTTCAAAATAAGGTGCGTATTGGACTTGAAGTTTTAAAATTACTTACATTTTGAAAGTCACGTTTCATTAGCCATGCCCAATTTTACGAACCAATCAAACCATTTGTCGTGATAGTCAGTTTTATAACTGCTCCTATATCCCTCAAAGGGCAGCACCAAAATCAGTTTAAAATCTGCCCACGACAACTGCGTTAGCGCACTGAGTGTGTTTCAAAAAAAAGGAATTATGGCAAAGTATTTCACTAGAGTTCAGATCAATCATCGAATTAGGCAGCGTATTGAGGGATATTCTAGCCATCCCCTCCTTTTGCTAAAGGCCACTTCGAGAAATTCTGTATTCCATGCAAACAAAACAAGTTACGCTTTAAGACTGCATGGGATTTAAGACCGTTTTAGAAGCATTGAATGTTTTAAACCTCAGGATGACCAAGTCCTTGACACACAACAGTACAGATGAAGTTATCTATGACCGATTGACCCTAGAAGTAAAGGGAGATTTTGTCATTTTGCTGGTTTATCTCTGTGTCATCTTGTTCTGATTTCATAGAGGCTAATGCGTGCCATCCGATAAAAAAACTCGAGATATTGTTAACGTGACGGAATTATGATATGCGTCGTCATCCCGGCATACATGTACATGTCGAAATATTCAAAGCAGCAATTAAAAATGCTGCATTGTTAGACATTTAGTCAGTCAGAGGACAATATAAGAATCAACCTTGCGAACTACTAAGAGGTAATGCAGTAAATTCGGCCTAAATATGCACAGCAACAAGCATTTAGATCTCGTTGCTCCATATTTTCGAGCAAACATTTCGCCGAATCCCCACTACTCAAGGTAATGTTAAGCATATGATGGCAATTTTAAAATCTTTTGTTCGGTTAAGAACAGTTAATTATCAAGCGTATAAATATTTCAAATTCGATGTTCCATTAGGTAGAGAGTGTGTTGGCTTTGAAGACAACAGTACGTTGATTTTCTGAAAATAGAGCCTCCAGATAAGACAGACTCTGTAAATCTTGCCCGACAGCCCTGTGGTCGTGCAAAAGGCCAGCTATCCAAACTCATTGAAGGTTAACAGCCTTGAATATTTAGTAAAGTGCGCGGTATGGTAGCAACACCACGCACTCTGACAATGGTCGAAAGTTGTTTTAATTCTTTCCAGTGCCACAGAGACAGCTCAGCGTCTTGGTTCTCCTAAAATGCAAAACAATTTTTTGGAGATTTTTGCATGCCATTAAGTCAACTAGTAGCATTATAGTTAAATTGCTACTTAGAGAATCAGAATTATAAACTAGTATTATCCCATTTCAGCATGAGTTGTTTGATCGTTTGATGAAAATGCGGTTAAAATGTATGTTGGTGGTCAAAACGGGAGCTGTCTTCTAATATATCGATCCGGCTTGCGTCGAAATTCGTAGACTATTGTTACCATATCCGCTTTCAATAAGTCAAATTTTCCTACTGGTCAGGCCACACCGGGCACTTTGATGTACAAGCAGGCGTTTGGTTATTTAAAACGTATTAGCGATTTGCGAAAATAGTATGCTAAATGACGGACGCGCATATCGCTGGAAACAATATGTTAAATTCCGTCCCGCAGTCAAGTTTAACTATCGGTCAGGGGGAAAATGACATCATTTCGCATAAAAGAACTCCGGCAGTTGTAAGGAGTCCGAATGCGTCTAAACTGTCTCATATGACACAATAAAATCCTGAATATTAAACATCTTAAAAGAAGAAGTGTTAAGAAAAGTTGTGTGATGGGGGCATGGGGAACGCAAATTATATGAAATACTCTCGCAAATCGACAAGATGTCTTGGGTATTTGGTTGCCTCCATACCTCAATCAGAGTTGGAATAATAAACGAGATAGAATAAATAAGTAAACCTAAGCTCTTAGATCGAAGACGTCATTGCGCGGAACCCCAACGATGACTTAACATTTGTTTTTGTCGGTGATGACGTAGTTACGTCTGAAGATTGGGACGACGACCACAGTCACATACAACTGAAACACCAGTGGGTGGCAGGAACAACGTCGCCAACTAGCGCGTGAGGATTTACTGGACCCCAGCAAACCATAGCTTAAAGTCGGTCCGGACAAAATTTCTGGTATTTGCGGCAGTCATGTAAGCCACCTAAATTGTACCCCTGCGACTTCGGGCTGGTTTCTAGGCCCAGACTCGTGTTCAGCATAGTGAGATAGTTTAAGCAACAACTCATCAGAGAAGATATTTCAAGGGTTCTCAGTGCTTTAACAAGCATTGTGGATATGATTAAGGAATTTTTGTGCTGCACATGACAATAGCACCACTTTTCGGGAAATTGTGAAAAGAATATTAATATATTGCGGTGCATTTATCAGCCTGATTTCACTCGTGTAAGTTTTGCCATTACAACCCATCTAGGTAACCACTTCCGTTTAGAAGCACATGTAAGGACTTTGCAGTGCCTTGTGACTGATGGCATATGAAGGTTCAGAATCAGTGGATGCACAGGGAAAGAAATGTATTTAAAGTGAATATGCCTATTTAATTAAACATCGCCAGCGCTTGCGAAATTTGCCATTCTAACCGCTTTGTGGGCCTATTCGCACTCAGAGTCAGGACTAACAGTAGGTATGCTAATTCATGAAATGTTAACCGCGATTCTGAAATGCGTCCTTGTTTCGAAAAGATTATTAAAGTAGGTTTCCGAAATTAATCATCCTGAAGCATAATTCTCAGGAGGCTGTCTGCCGAACAAACTTCTTTCCAGCGGCATGCGAAAAAACAGACTCTGCAGAAAATGACTACTTAATTAGAATGAATTTTCCTCATTGACTGTCGATGCTCTTAAAACTTCGATTACAGTACACGGAAACCATGCATTAAAATATTCATTCGTTTACAAATTCAGTAGAAAATGACGTCTTATTCCAATTGTGTACATGAAGGAAGGGTATGATTTGGTTTTAAAAAATGTATAATTATGAAATTTTCTAATATGCTGAAATGTCCGTTCATAAGGCACCTTGTCTCTGCATTTAGCAATGTTCCTTGTGAAGTTATCAGTATGGCTCAAATCCACTGCTTAATTTTATGAAACCCATATGGTCTCCTCTTAATAACGTAGACGAATATGTGGTTTTCCGTACGCGGAAAGCGTACGGCTCGTAGTTCAGAAGCCTTGAATGCAAGTGTAACGCAAGTCAAATTCAAAATTATTCGAGAATTTGAAAAGTTTATGGAAACTGAATTATACCCTTTTGTCGATTACACAATCGGAGGAGGAGGTACTTTTCTACCGAAATTTAAAAGAATAAATATTTAATGCATAATTGCCTTGCAATATAATCGAATTTTTAAGGGCATCGACAGTCAATGAGGAAAATTCATGCTAAGTTACTAGTCATTTTCTACAGAGTCTGGTTTTTGCATGTCGCCGGAAAGAAGTTTGTTCGACAGCCAGCATCCTGAGATAAATGAATTATTGTAAAATTATGCTGCAGGATGATTAATTTTGGAACCCTGCTTAAATAATCTTTTCGAAACGAAGACGTATTTTAGAATCTCGGTTAACATTTCATGAATTAATCCACCTACTGGATCAGCAGCAAGGCCGGATGTAGCACTCTTAGGCCGGCTGCTTTGTCCTGCTAGTCAGTACTTTCGCGCCTGGCTTCCTGTCGTATAAAACTGCCTATCAAAAGGGGCCAGGTGGGAGAGAAAAGTGAGTGCGGTAAATGCTGCGCAGGTCTGCTACCCGCGCAAGTCACCGGTGATGCGCGGACTCCGTGGGGCACACGGGGGTCGTCGTCGCCCACGACGGTCAGAATGAAATGGGTAATAAGTTGTAGCGGAATGTTTAATTTGAAGTTTAGTGCAACGCGTACAATCAAGCTATGTGATATTTTGCAACTTTGTTAATACATAAAATTTTTTGTAGCAAGTGATGACCAAATAAATAAGTGCCGAATCGCTTGTTACTTATCTTAATATTTTCTTCAATTTGCACATTGTGTGTATATCCCTGTGCAGGAAAAATGCCCATTTATGATTCAGCCGCACTTGTTGTTTAACACTACCTTTCTACACGTCAGAGGAAGTCAAGCGGATTTTATTCACTGTTTTTAAGTTTGTGAATATGTTAGGAGCAGGAAAAAAATCATAACTTAGGGACTAATGGTGTTTTGTCTTCAGAATCGCGAAAAAGATACTGGCGACCAGCATCACGTTTGAGCACTCCTATACAAGAAACAGACTAGTATGACAGGGATGATCGTGATATGTAACTACCTCTCACTGCCGCTGTGGTCTGGAGCTTTCGGTGAATTTCTTGAGAGCAGGGGAAATTTTGGTGCAGAAAACGCACTTTGTGAGTTATTATGGCGATTTTTTAATACAACTTTGATAAATGAATCCAAAAGTGATTAAAAAATGCTTTTTGTTGGAAGTTGCAAGTAACGCAGAAAGTATATCAACTACTCAGGAGGGCGAGGTCAAATAAAGGCCGATTTTCAAGTGCCAGGGATGCCTCCAGCGAATGTGTATTCCCGCTGTTTGTTCATTTTCGATTTGGACTGCAGCAAGTTGCACGCACTTGCATGATAAATTGCATACCGGCAACAATCATTGTTTTATATGCCTACGTATCGTTGTGACAATGTTTTGTTTCCTATTTATATATAAGAGGGCTGAAGCTGTCGATTGAAGAAAGGCTCTATTTGGATAAATAATTTTTAAAGACGCCTCATATGCTACACTCAGAATGACTGACAGGAATGAAGTATGTTTGATACAGCCCTGAATATAAAAGAAACTGACAGAAAAGTATATTGGAAGGTAGTTCGGTATTCGGTTTAGGATGTTGCGATCCACCTAATGAGGGATTTTTTATTTTACTATGTCAAAAGGATGCCAAAATCTCAAATAAATCCGTGTTTTATTGAGTGGATCAGGAGGCAGTCAAGAGTTGAAAACAGATTAAGGTTTATTGAATTTCCCAAATAACAAGTTTGGAATTTCATCCTTGGCGTATGAAGAGTTCTTAAATGCTATAAAAAGTCAGGTACTTTTTTGCGATTTTCCAATATCTGCTTACTTCCATTGATAGGCAGACAGGATTATACGTTAAACAGTCCACTGGCTGCTTAAACGTAGTATATCATTGATTCTTGGCGTGCCTCACAAGATGCGCCCCACACTGTTATGTAGAAGCATTCCTGGCATTTCAAACTTCTTGGATCCTTATAATTAGCATTTTGTATAATGCAAGGCTTCTTTTGCATTTCTACTCTTATCCGTGAATACGATTTCCTTACATTGGTTTATCTTTTATATACAGAAAGAGCTTCATAGACACTCTAACAAAAGGCAAAACAGGTGATGACTTACCCCATCTGCCGGCGGTTCGGGAGGAACGAATGTCATTACCTTTTCATTGTTTCCTAGAAAATCAGAAAAGATTGAAATATCAAACTACAAAGGTGCGTGCTCAATCACAACTGCTTTTTTCTCCCGAAACTGATTATATCTTATAGTCTAATTCAAAAGGGACCACAGAGCACACACTTCCGAGCAAGGTCAAAGGCCACAGTTATGCATAAAAATCAACACTCAATGAAATTATGAGATTTCGTTTGCTAGGGAACTTTACGAAGCACACATGCAGATAAAAATCCTGGAACTGTTCTCTGTAGTTTTATTCTTTTTCAAAACTAGTGCAAAAGCAGACCTCCTCTTACAGGACGAATTCCCATGCGGTAGGAAGGACTCCAATGATTTGTCGTAATGCAAGACATGTAACGGTGTATTCTTCTTAAGCCATTTATCCGCCTCAAGAGGATTCGTGAACTGCCAATTGAACTGACCTTTAATTATCCAAAACGTAACATTGGGAAAGACTTTACTGCGAAAACATTTGACATGAAGTGGCAATTCGAAGTAGATCGCCACCCCCTTGATCATGCTCTGAAGCCTTCGTTTTTTCTCTTAAGTTAACCTTAATAGTCCAGCTTTAAAACATGTGGACCCATCCCTACCTTCTTCGTTATTTTGTACTTATCTTGTTGCGTCCACAAGCCGATTGTTTCCCTCCGCCGACCACAAGGCCCGCCTGCATGACTTCTTTAAATAACCAGTACTCACAGCGCGAATATACCTACTTCGATTGACCTATGCTGCTTTGACTCATCGAATCACCAACTTCATAAGTAGAAAAAGAGTAAAATAATTGACCCCAACCCCGGACGAGCGTCTTTGCCGGGATGCCACTTCGAATTAATGTGGTTGCTTGAGAGTTGCATTCAAAGCCCAGAGTTTAAAGGTCAGGGCGCAAAACTCCTGTCCCATCGAGTAAAATCTCATTTTTCATCCGCTTAGTAGGCATAGTGTCTGCATTTATAGTGTAACTAAAGAACTTTCAAGGCCAAATAAACGGGCAGCAAATTTGTTGACATCGTTAACAATTCTCTGTCATCAACAAATTTGACCCTATTCGCATTTGGTTAATTGGAAGCCTTAAAGTCCGTCTGGAGTGGGGCTTGTGGGTTGCATACCAAACGCATAAATGCGGTCCCCTGAGGTTACCAGACTGAAGTAGACGAGTGGACGACTCATAGGAATGAGGAAGGTCCACTGGCCATTAGGCGAGTCAGCAGAAGGCGGAATGAACAGTTCGACTGTGGCTGTCGCTGTATTCTCTTCCAGGTAGCCGCCAGCTACAATTATCTGTCCACGAAACACCGTCACCGCGTGGCCCGACCGCGCCTGTGACAGGGGCGCGGCTGCTTTCCAGAACTTCTCGTCGTTAATGTCTTCAGTCAGCTGGTTAGGCAACTGGCAGTACTCCACGGCGGAGAAGCGTTTCTCAGCGTTCCTGCCGCCAATGACGAAGACGCGCCGGCCAGGGAGACTGACTACACCCAGTCCACTGCGTTCATTTATTAGGTTTGGTAGGGTGATCCAGCTGAAACATGATAACAAATACCATTTTTGACTAAAATGTAACGTGAATGATTAAGCAAACGATTTTGAAATGCGATAATTAGCCATTGGTACACCTTTTGTTTATCTGTTACCCATGTGATACTACGCAGTCCACTTTGACCGCGTCAGAGAGTCAAAAAAGTTGAATATAGGCCCCACTTACACTCTGGTGTACAATGATTTCAACATTCTGTTGCAATATGCCCACCTACACCAATAAATCGGTTTGTGAGCAATTGCAATTGATTGCTTCAGATATTGCAGACGGCTGCAAATGACATCATTGATTGCTAGGTGACCGCGTGGATTTTGGTGAAGGAATGACAAAACTGCAACCAGCATCGTTTTGTGGACTCATCGCCAAGTCCATCTAATCCTTGTTTGTTTTTGCCAAATCCTCTACGAGACACCCACTGCACAAGAGGTTAAACGGAAACATAAGCATTAACAAGGGTCAAATGGACTCATTTGGCCCACGTTTTACAGATCCGAACTACATAATGAACGCTAGAAGTTTGTTTGATGTGCCTACCACATTTCGTCCCTACCTTGCTGTCTTTCCCTCGTCTTCTTTTTAATTTTTGAATCCGATAGTCTTTCTCTATTAAAGGGCATGTCGTGTATCAGCATCTGAACTGACGCGTCTCAAATGCAGAAGAGAAACAAACGGTTTACTTTTAACCATTCCAGTATCACAAAGCGAACGCTCCTGCCAAACATAGCGGAACAAAAGGTATAATTTTTTTATGTCGTCTGACTTTTTCCAGGCCAGGCATTGCCTCCTTCACAAATATGGATACAGTTTTACTGCTAAAAACAGAAAAATTATTGGTATTATGATGGTGCACGCCTTCCGTTCTCCAGCGTGGCTTTCCGACCCTGCTTCGCATCGGTGGGCCAGCCTGGGGAGGCGTTAACTCCGTTCTTTGCAGTAAAGCTTTCACTGCACTTGCACAGGCACTGAGCGCAGCCGCGCTGCTACCAGCCTTCGCGTTCTGTCTACACTAGTTTACATCACTAAAAGTAAACAAGCCTGGACGACAATCTCCTATGCAAGCTCTACATCGCGGAGTACATTCAGAAGACAAACATTTCACTACAGGGTCGGCAGGCTTGCACGTATGATACCGAGGGTCGATAAATAATCGGATATCGCAACTCAGCAGACCACTAAGCCGACATATGTTACCCTATGAGGGAATTCTATAGCGCGTCTGAAGTAAAAATGTCGGTGTTTTTAGCCGACACATTGACTCATGACGCAGCACACTCATATTTACCCATAGGAATGAATAAATGTCCTAAAGCTGGACTCCAGTATGGCACTACGCAAATTTACGGAGACGAAGTCGAGATGCCATATAATGCAGTATCGGTTTTTTCTGTTGACCTATCAAATTTAGGCTTTAACGCGGGAGGTAACTGCTGGCAAACGAACATGACCGGATCTACAATGTACTGAGTGCCTATTTACTCGAGCCGTTTGTTTTAACGGCGCACCTCGCGCTCATTGAGACATAGAAGCAAGACAAAGCTTGTTCGGTGGGATTACTGACATCTAGTATTGAAGCAGTGACGTTCATTGTCTCTTTACTTGAAGTCTAGGCAAAACTGTCACCACTATCAGAGGATAAATAGACCCAGAATTAAAAATGCTCCAATTTTCATCCTTTTGGAGATGGCTTGGAGATGTAGATGTATTACTGCAACCGGTCTCTGTCTCTGGGTGCCTAAGTAACATCGAAATACCAGGCTCTACTTACAGAATTATATAGGGAGACAAGTGAATCAACCAAGTACAAGATGCCCTTATACGCCCTCAGACATACCTAGGTCCTTAGCGTGAGAGTGAAGGCATGCGGTGGCGCGCTGAGGGAAGGACGATGTAACTGCATGTTAGTACTACAGACGCCTGTTTACGGCTGACTGATGCCTGAACAAAATAGTAGAACGCGAAAGACTGTTTAAGATAACTTCAAGATACACTACGGAGAAAGCAGCAAAGCGTTTCCTGAAAACCTGTTTTATGCAGCCGTTTGTTGTCTACAACTACAAGTATTGAGTGTTATCTAAAGACCAGAGGCCGACTCAAGTCGAACTCATGGAATCTTAGAGCCACCACAAGCCGTAGATTGTTGTTAGCGGTCTTGCGAATCGGTCACAATACTAACAGTCTCAGTAAAATAGGCGATTTCGATAGACACTGGTTACACGCTCGAGTGGTACAGAAAGTACACGGTGGTGTCTGGTATCGGTGTACTGTGCAGTACCCAGACGTATCCTTGCCTCCAAGGGGGCCAATCACGGGACCACATGGCCGGGGAGTTTTCCGAAGTCCGACGCACTGGTGCGACATCAGGCAACCGACCTTATCATCCCTGGGGTGTTGCAGGTTCTGAGAACAGTGCCGTAACACGCGGACGCGGACGGCAATACCAAGACACCCAATAAATGCGGGTAGTAGCGGGTGCCTTAGTTGCCTGATTCACCGGCCTGAGGTGGATAGTCTCAGCGGGGATGGGGGGAGCACAGAACAGGAGCCCTCCAGCCTTCGGACCATAATAAGGGATCTCAGCGAGAATGGCCTGTCAGAGGACCCATCGCCAAACTCAAGGCCAAGGCGTGATATCAGCACAAGCATAATTAATTAAACTCTGCTTATTACTGAAATGCCAGGACAAAGAAAATGTAACTGAGATCGCTTCTTTTCCTCAGTCACCATTAGCCGCGCTACTTGTAACTCCGATCTACACTCGGCAAACTTATGCACATTTTGATTTTTAAAATAACAGCACCTTGGCATCCTGTTGTTTAGGATATATGGTCCATTTAAGTCATGTACGTTTCGCAGAACCAATTTAACTTAGTCTAAATATTGAAAAGAAAACACTTTTTTGCAAGTGCACTGAAACTAACATAAGAAAACATTGGATGTGAAGGCGGTTAAAATGTGCTCTCATTATGATTTTGAAAATGCCCTTGCTTCGCATTACCGAAACTGCTATTGTGGTCTCAGCTCATTTCTATTCTGCGACTATTTAGGCACGTGATTTTTGAAAACGGCAGTCATTGGTAATTTATCTCTGAAACCCAAAAGTGTTTTACACCGAAGTAACTCAAAGCACTGGTTTCTTCTACTGAATTCGAAAAAGAACGACAAAATAAAAACTATGACTTATAGGCAATAGCCCTGACTCGATGCTATAAATTATGCAAGTCCTAACCTTCTTCCCGTTTGGGAGAATGCTTCGCATGTATTAAGCCAACAATCATCAGTTTTACCGCCACAGACAATGATGTCACCACCTATTGCGACAGCTCCGTGGCCATATCTCGCCGTCCTCATTTCCGTTATTGGCCAGTTCCGCCGCGTTTTCGGATCAAAGATCTCTGCGCTTGCGCTTACGCAGCCTCGAACCTTTCCTCCGACCGCACAAAGCATGCCTGACAAAGCATGTGGAAAGCAAAAGAAAAGAAGATCAGAATAGGCGGAAAAATAATAAGGATTAACACAGCACCCGGAGTGTGTTTTAGTGTCTCAAAAATAAGGTTTTTGTACAGGGGGTTTGTTAGCTTGTGTTTCTAATACACATTCAAAAGGTTTGCATTGGGATGAGCGCGACATAAACAATGCAAATTTGGAAATGCCTAAAAAGTATACAAAGTTAATAAAATTTTCGCAAACGCAATTAAATTCTTCATTTAGACAACGTGTTGCAAATACTTTTAACTGGCCGTTTACCGCACAAAGTTTGACATATGAAATCGTCTATAGCACACATGGCAACCAACAACTTTGAATTTAATAAGCAAAACCGCTAGGGAGGCAGTATTTTTTTCACCTAATTCGGAATAGTGATTAAAAGCCACGCCATCGGATCAAAAAAGCCTTTGAAACTAACATAAATCTGAGTTTTGATAGCTCGTTCTCACAAACAATGACTGACCATTCCGACTGTTTGTTCAGACTAAGTCCCCTAGCTCGATTTTTTGAAGTTAGCATACACGCAGAGCACTTTACTGGCAACGGTGAGGGAAGTTGTTTTGCGTGCTAATAAATCCAACGACTAAAAATTTCCACATTTCAAAATCAAGAACAGCATGATTATTCTGGCAGAGAAAGATCTAAACTGGTCGTTTTTGCTCGTTTTCGAACTATCTAACCACCCATATGAGTCAAAGGCCTAGAACAGAAGCCTAATTCCGTCGACGACTTCAGTCTGAATCTCGAAACTAGCTGGTAAATGCATCGACAGGCGTGAGTTTCTCACCACCACAGTGACGATACCATGGCAGCCATGCCTGCGCCATCACGGATGACTATGAACGCAAAGGAGGGATGTTGCCACGGGGAGAGGAAAGCAAAACGTACTTGACGGTCATGGTCGGTGAATTGAATACGAACGAAGTTCCAAACACGTCACTTCGAAGATGAAACAGCACAGTTCCTGATAGCCAATGAAAGTACAACATACCTGCAAAATTTCCCTTTCATTTTTTGCGTTTTTCGATATAGTTACCCTCTTTTCATTGTTTAAAAAATTGAGGAACGCGCATACACAGTAACCTAACGGCTGAACGACACACTTTCGAACCCTCTATGTCGCTGTCTTGGTTTTGTATACGACCGGTTGAAGGGGCCGAATACGCCAGTAAGGAGCATCTAGGTCCCTCTTGAATCTGTCGATGTCAGTGCTCGACCAGAGGAGCATCTCGGAAAGAGTCATTTTGATGAATTGTCTTCTGTTTACTAGTTTTATTTGCTCCACTGATAATGTGCTTCTTCGAGAGAATGAGTAGACGAAGGAACTTCGATGGCCTTAGCGAGAGCAGTGACATTTACGGGATACCCATCCGGCGCCTATTTAGGATAGTTGTCATCCCAAAACCTTCGTCTCCGTTTAAACCTCCTGAACCAGTTCTGTCTTAGGACATTTAGTTCTGAATAGGACAAGCGACCTAGTTATTTATAAAACCAGGTATGCTTAATGAAAATTCGTAAGAAAGGAGGAGTAAATTTCTAAAAAGCAGGTCGCGTTCGCTGTGATGAGTATTTTGGAACGGAATATGCGAATACTGTGTCCTCAAGAACTTTCATAAGCATAGAAATACAGACATGAGCCTAATTAACATAAGGCCCTAAATGTCATCTCCAGACAACTCGGACAGTCAAGTGATACCCCAACCAGATCCCATACGGCAATTTGCACTTCGAAGATTTCTCAACATCAGAATACTGGCAAAGGATATCTCGTTTACCGACTTCTTATACTAAAAGCAGCTCCTCATTAACGCGTCACGCTTTGGTGCCCACTAGTGCATGCTATGCCTTGTGGTTACTGGCTTCTGAAATCAGCGAACAATCCCGAGACAACGGTTGTCTCAGTTCTCGATGTCTTTGACTCTTCCTCTTCTGAAGCTGGGTAAATAATCCCTCTGTGGATGGAAGATAGCACCATTTTCGCGGCCTATGGCACCTGAGAAGGAGGCTATTTTGATCTGTCAACCCAGTGAGGTAGATGGACGTCAAGTTCACGGAAATCATATATGTCCAGTATTGATAATTTGGACATACAGAGTGTGGTTCTATTGTGCTATCCAAGACTGTCATCAGGTCTGTGACCTACAAACAATAGCCAATCCTTAAGTCTCTGCTTCGCATACCTGGCTTCGCATACCATGTGACGGTAATTTCTGAGAATTCTACATGTATCTACTCAAGAGGGGTTTTAAGCCCTTCAAAACGAATTCCTAACGGATGGCTGACATTTGCAAGAACAAAGAAAGTGCAGAAGCCTATTACATTGAAAAGATTTCCCAAGAAAGGATTTATGCAAAATCGCAAAGTGGCAGTTCCCAACGTTTCAGGATATGCATAGATGAAAACGCAGAAATTTCTCAAGGGCTCTTAAAACCGCAACGGCTTGGGATACAGCCTGACTGAACCGAGGAGCTGGAGGAAATGGCAACTTATATTCCAGCAATTAAGCCTTTTACCTAACAATGTGTCGTCAAGATAGTTTGAAAGAAACACTTTACGACCTAGTAATTTTTATAATCGTAGTTAAACCAGACATACCCTTTGTCCATGGCATGATATCCAGTCGATGATAGTGTTGTCTTCTGCTCACGAAGAACATGGGGTTGCCTTTTATCAATAACTGATGGCTCTTGCCGTATGATGCCCAGGTTCGTCTTAGCAAACGCTTCATGCTCCCGCACATGCAAGTGCTACGTTTTCGAGTGTCTACCCTTGGTCACACTTTTAAGGTGAACTAGGACTGACGAAATCACGTCCACAGATGACCCCGTTCATTTGAAAGTCGTAACTGTTGCACGAAAGTTGCGTTGGAGGCATGGCATGAGTACAGGACTGAATACGAGCGTTTCGTCCGGCTTTGGAGCTCCAATATAGAACCGTCCCATATACGTATGACCAGTACGCAATCAGGAGATGTTACTGACAGACAGAATAGGGTTTGAAATGGACCTTCCAGGATCAACTGATCAACGGGCTTAAGCCCATTGGGTCATAAACTCCACCCACTTCGGCTGCTATCGAGCATCGAAAAAGTCATGTTGCAGTGTTGGTCACGATATTGGTCTACTTTGAGACCTGGTTTCAACCGCAGATCCTGTTGACCAGGGTGAGGAACTTGGGACGCACTGCACTTATGCGAAAGTTTTTTCTCATGCCATTGCCTAAGTAACGCTAACTGACTGGAATGCAGTAGCTGACGGAGTCTTGCTTTGCATTTTTCTAACTGTGAGTCGGTTTATTTCCTATAGCCTACTGTAACAGAACGCTATAATAAATATCAGACAATAAATCTTAAGAGCGGAGAAGGTGCCTACCCTCAAACAAATTTACCAACGCTTTCGTAAACATTTTCAAAACAGCTAAATCAGCAGGCCTCCAATCATCTCGGCATAAATGTGATCTGCACTTCTATTGGCGATACTTGATAAATTTGACTTACCTTGAATGCCAACTACAGCACAGGCCTTTCGTTTCAAAATATGTCCTATAACACGACTATCGTGGTTCTGTAAGCAGTAGGCTTCGACCACTCCCTCGTCTTCATCATTGTGCCTTCCCTTCCCGAATACCAGGAAGTCCATTTCTGAGTAAATCCTCGGATTCTGGTCGAAAGGGCAGTTGTCGCTACCACCGTTCTGAAGTCGTGTTAACCAATGTTCTATTTGACCAAGTTTTTGCCTAAAAGGTGATAAAAATGTGACGTTGTGAACGGGCACCCCTACACAGGCAAGAAGATGAAGATTAATTGAATTGTTCAGGCTAAATGTGCAAATGACTTCACGAAATCCTTCTGCTGTCAATTTGCTTGATATAGTTGCCGAAATTTTGTCTTATTCGACTTGGTAAATATATTTACCTGTTGGTCTAAAAATTTTCCAGTTATTTTTATTCGAAGGATAACGTTAGACAGAAAATGAGACTCCCATTATTTCCTTTCGTCAAAGTTTTGCGTGGTAATCTTGCCTCTCGCATCTTCCGAAAATGTTTTAATATTCTAGGCAGACTTTGATGGGATCTAAGTATCAAATGCCAATCATAAAAGAATGTTGAATAAAGGAAATAAAATGACTATAAGCGTAGTTAATAGATAACATTTGAAAATGTGGCCCTCAAAAAATCCACAGAGATGGTAAGAACTTGCCTGCACAACATTATCATTCTTCCATCTGCCAAGTCTGCACGCAAAGGTGACAGCTGGCTGTCGTACTCGTCGATGGCTATCGTCAAAGTTCGAGTCAGTCACGCATCACATATCCGCGACTTGTTTTTCAGGGGGCCATTCCGAAATAGACAACCCAGGAACTGGTACGCGAAATTAAATTCAGGTCGTTCATACCCTTTGTTTCAACAGAACCAGTCAGGACTGATGCGCGAGAACAAGCTACGTGGTCAACTGTCACTTAAAAGACTTCACCCAGGATAGATTAAAAGTGGGTTCCCCTAAGGTCTAGTATCAGAGCCAGATTTGCCATGCAAAATTATCCACGGAGTACAGAGGAATACTAGTCGACAGTTATTGTGCGAGAAAACCTCGGAAAAGCAATGACTTCCAATCCTACCACTCAAAGTCACCAGTTCCTACGTGGAGCATAGGAAAACTCCCGACTGCAAAACCCGGTTCACGTAAACGTTTGTTCCAAGCACGGACATTTATGCAGAGGAGGAGGAGATACTATTATCTACGACACGGCCCTCCGGGCTGCATGGCCCAAGTGTCTAGAGCAGAGACATAAAGCGTCATGTTTCCTCAGTGATGGCGTGTACCGAGCTGGAGTTACGCATGTTTTAGACTGCACTGGCTAGTTAATCCAGAAACCGGCGCATCTGGCAAGAAAGTGACCACGCAAAGATACCAACCCAAGGGCCTATCAAAGTGGGCAATCATCAAAATTCGTGAAGGGGGCCTAAACAAATCGTGAACCGTTGCTGCGATGATTAAAGGGCTGACATGGCGACCAAACAGACTCCAGTTCCGTCGTCAACTGAAAGACTCATGATTCAGTTTTAATTACGCAGCCAAGACGACACCTTTCGGTGTGCATATTTTCTTGTCTACATATGTCGGAATTTTACGGCAGATGTGTTAAGACATTGAAAATTTGTTAACCTTAAAATTAGTAAATATATTTCAAAATACAATCATTTCAGTCTTATTTCATCTAGCAGACCTCTTGTCCCAAGTTACCGTGCATTTAATCGGTTCAACCGAACTCACGAGTACAAACTGGCCACGAGTGGGCGAGACCATCTGCTTCCAACGACTAAACGCACTCAAGAAACAGAACGTGGATTCAATTTCCTGGACTTGGGTCGAAAACAAGACAGGTCTTAAGTTGCTCGGGCCCTGATAATCTATGTACGGAAATACCCGCCTACGTCCTGCGTATTGCGCGCTACGTGCTCAGGGTCAGACGAAACGGCGCAGTTTTGAGTCAACAACATAAACAGCCCTTGTTTTAAGCGACCTTAAAAACCCCTTACTTGTTACTTTGATTCGGTGGTCTCGGGTTAAGAACTTCCACACGGATTCGAGATGTACTGCTGGTTCCGAAGATGCACCTCATTTCTAATGGATTTCGATTCATTTATTCACACCAACTTTCTGGCAACGCCTGAAACAGTTCCCCCCCAAGGGCTTACTTCAGGTTAACGCAGTAACCTGCGGGGACATAGAAAAGCTTCACAGGAGAACCTGGAGTGTGCAACAGAAAGCACACAGGGAATGCCGGGGGACTCACTGATGAGCCAGACCCCTCAGAAGTGCGTCATTCAGTGACAAAAAATTGGCTAAACACACATATCTGAGCTTTTAAATGCAGGCCCTTCAAGAAACCATTTCGGAGCTCTGTTGGACCAATACGGAGTCAGATCAGGGTACGCCACGCGTCATGTAGACTGTGCACGCATAAAAAGACCACAAATGGGATGAGGCAGCACGTCCAGGTGCAGGCTCATACCGCGAGGGCCTACTGCGTCTAATCCCTGAGTCAGAGGGTTGACCGGCTCGCACAGTAGACAGGCGCCTGTAAGGCGGAAGACAGAGTGTTATTGACCCTGGGAAATCCTGTCCACGACATCCACTAAACGGCCTAATCCGTCTTAAAATAATCTCGGTCCTGTAAACGCCATGGCTTGGAAGACTGCCAAATGAAGGGGCAACTCGGACCTCTTGGGACACAGGGTCAGATGTGGTCTCAATGGAATCTCCAATCCTTTGGGACTTGAGCCGTCCCGCTTGTTGTCTTGGTGAAAACCTGGTCAAACTTGCGCTGCCCAGGCGTGTGTGGTACGCGTAGATGAGCCGTGCAGGTCTGTCAGCACTGTACCCAATCCTACCTTCGGTCTTCTTAACTCTGTCTTGACACCGGGTTCAGGTGGATGACGGAAAGGAGAGTGCAGCGCAGGCCTAGTTCGCGCGAAAGTCACTTTTCGTGAAACAATCCTGCTGCTGGACACATGGTGTACACCGGCGTCCACGACTGTCGTGTAGACAGTATAGTGGTCGTCCAAAATTTGTTTTTTTGTAAAAAATAATCAAGGTCTAGTTCATCGTGTTTTCCATAGCATTATCACATATTACAGCTTAGTTTGTTGTTTCCGACTTCTACTTAAGCCCCATCATTTAGACTGAAGAACGCGTTCAAATGTGAATGATTTTTACGTGACAGAATTGTCGACCAAAAAGTGCTTGGTTAATTTACCTTTTTGCCCTGTTCCGTCGGTCATCGAGACTCTACCCTTGTTGCCTGCGACTGGGTCGACATACAAAACGTGACCTGTCTCATGAAATCTAATAACCGAAACTGATAAGAGAATTTCTGGACGACTTTAACGTTGAGGACTTTGTTCGCTCATCCACTTCTTTCAATAAAATGTCATTTTCTTGGGCAGAAATTTTGTTTACGTAATTATATCAAGTAAAATATCAGTAAATTTTAGCGAAAATGGACGTAGAATGATATTCGTGCAATTTGCCTTGCTAATACATGTCCTAGACTCCGGTTACGCACCTGAGGGACTTTTTTACTGTAAGGATAGTAAGTTGCCCGCAAGAGTTTTAATAAACAGGTTTAGCCAAACATGAAAATTTATTTTCTGTCCGATGTTAATCAGAGGTAACTTACTGAGAAAAGTTTTTTTACTGATCGAAGAAATTCGTTGCTGACTTTCATTGTGGACAGACATTTTTCTCGAAAATGAAGTTTGATGTTGGAATGAGTCTTCATATTTGACCCAAACAACCATCTTCGTGAGAAGAAGCGCCCAAACACTCACTAATTCGGTAAATGCCTTCACGAATAACCTTATTTTAAAGTTCTCAACATACAGGTAATTAAGAATCTGTCTTAATGGAAGATCGGGTGAGAACCCTTAAAATCATGAAGTATTCAGCAAAGTTTCGAGGTCAATCTCAAAGTCAACGTAATGCAACACAAACGAGAAGTGTAAATTAATTAAACGGAAGAAATGTTCGCTCCATAAACATAAAATGGTATGTTTACGATCACGCCTGTCAGTTTTTTTAAATTTATCAGGCACCGACGGGCCTCATGGCATGTCATCTTATGAAAACGCTCCATCATACAACGTCCCCGTCGGTGAACTCAAGCAAAATCCAGCTTCTCTTGTTGAACCCTATCTTATTCACTTCAAACAAATAAAAAAACAGGAATCACTGGAAAACTGTTTTGTACTCTACACTCAGAATGTAGGCAGTTGACAAACCGCCATGTATGAACTCACACTACTTATTAAACGATATTTACATCAAAACTTCACTAAAACACTGTTATTAGACGTTATTTTATGTCTACATTCATATTTACTACGTTCTTGGTATGAGAATACATTCTATATACCTAAAAACGAATTTTACTTAAATAAAGCCATTTCTGACTTTTCGGAATATTGCGCTTTTTAAAATAAATCAGCATTTCTAAACAACGAAACACTGCCCTTAATGTTTCTTTTATGTTTTTAATTCTTTTAATTTTGTGCTTAATTAACATAGGAATCGAACTCATGAAATGGTGTCGATTTGCGAGTGATTGGCAATCATTCGTTAATTTCGACAAATTTCATGAATTATGTCACTAACTCTAGGCCTGCCTGATGTCCGTGAAGACTACTTCCGAAATATACACTTGATCTCTTGTAAGATCCTTAGGGTTACTGGCACCTTACGCTTAACTACAATGGGAGAAATACGATGAAAATGCCCCAGGTCTATTTAGCTACCGTGTCGTCAAAAAAGTCGAACTTTTTACTAGCAGATAAAGTCGTTAATTTTGCAAATGTTTCATTTTTTTCTACTGGTATGAGCTAAATATTTTCTGTGAATATTGCGCAGAAACTACCAGGCAACATCTGAAAGTCAAAGCAATGTCCGCAGGAAATGCACGCTGCAAAAAAATTTAGAAGGAGCTAGCATTTAAGGAAGCCATCAAATGCAGTGGTCTCTCATTCAACTGCCATTGACCTTTGCCTGTTTTTTACAACGATCGATGCGAAAGGTGATACCAGCAGTGTATCAGTTGGGTGTGGTGTGCAAACACTACGGAGCACTAGTCAGTGAACATGTCATGTTGTTGATGGGTCTAAAAACGGCAACTGCGTGGTCGGGATGAATGCACATCTCAGGTTTCCTCTGTCACATTGCCATGGTCCTCTTAGTGACGTGCAAGCCGTGCCACCATTGCAAGAAAATGAATGTTAGATGCCAACCTTGGATGAACAGCGTGGTCAACGCCCAGCAGTTGGTTTGCGACAGAGCTCACATATCATGGTCCCATTTACATAAACAAATACTTTTAACAGCTAGGTAGTAACAGTAACGGTAGAGGACATTTGCAGCTTGACAGCAGTTGGCAGACATCTTAATGGAATTACGGTTCAGACAGCATTCTACCGACTGTTTCAATTTTATTATGTCATATATACCGCCTTCGTCATACACTAGGCATTATGAAAAAGTCATAACTTTGCGAGATAAGATGGCTCAAATCATCTCCCACATCATTAACACAGATCATTTACCTTTGCCAATACGACTCCTAAATTTAAACGGGAAATTGTGAAAAACCCTGCTGGCATCTGTTTCCCTCCCAACGACTGGGCTATGAGGGGCGGGAGGCCATGGTCTAATTCGGGAGATCCTTCATCTTTAATTGTTACCCCACCTGATTAACAATACTGCAAATTTTCCAATGCAGATAGTTTAGATATGCTCCTGCGTAGGTCCAGCTGTAGAAACGGCAGCATAAACAAACTGCTTGTCGTTATCTGTTTTCAGAAGGTCTAGGATGGACATGGCCGCCTGTTGAAATGCTAGCTGTGGGCCTCGCCGTTTGAACATGGTGTTAACGGGGACAGGTTGCAGGGCTGGGGACTGGTTTTTTGACAGGTGACCTAGTTTATCCCAGTCCTCCCGAAAACAAACAACGGGGTGAGCTACCTCTTGGACTGCGCAATGACCACATCCATCACAGGAGAGAGACGCGCTAGTAGGTCTCGGTTAGCTGCCAAACCCCCACCCAGATATATCCAAGTTTCTTATCCTTTTCCTTAACAGTCTACTTCTCTGTAAGAGGAGGCATTCGAGTAAGAAGCGTAACTGGAGATTTCTGTCGAGTCCCCCGGTTTTCTATAGCCGGAAAGGAAGACCTGATCATTTGGGCAAATAGGTATGTCTCAAGCCTCTAGAATCAGGAAATTATGTTATCTCGTAATAATCTCCAGTTCAACTGATTCAAAGAAAACGAACAAACTGAGAATAGACAAATGAACGTACAGACACTGGATATTGTTGCTGATCAATTGGTGACTGCTCATGGCCTCTAGTCGGAACTCTTTTGACGTGTATCCCCAGCGAATCCTGGTCATAAAATCAACCAGTCTTGACATGCGTTCACTTGGTGGAGCTTCACCACCACTGTCACCACTAATCCATTTTGTTATGGCATCCACAACCTTCTCTTCATTGCTAACGCAGAGGTCATCGCTCTCAATCAGGGAGAAGAAGGTATTGTAGTCCATTTTCATGAAAACCGGAAGACTGACAAACTCTTCGAAGTGACGCTTGATAAGTTCCAGACAGGGCACCTTGAAGACGTTGTCTTCCGTTGCGCTCGCCAAAAACCAGATGTCTGCTATGTTGCTTATACTGAGACTGGGAGAAAAATGGAGGTAAAAATGAAGAGTTAAATATGTTAGTGTTTCCATCGTACTAGATAATCTGAGGTATTTATGACAACCGCCGTTTATTTTCTTCATAAGTTTTCAAACTCAATACCGAATCGAACGTCCCATTTCTGGGCTACTGAAACTTAAAATGTAGGGTTAAAATCCCCTTCACATAATAGCTTAACATTTGTCGGGTGTGAAGCGACCCAAAAGTGCAACCAAGTCTGGCTTTCCCTAATAATTTCGCATGCGAGTTTACATTGGCACACTGCCCAGCTTTGAGGACAAATTGTCGCCTTTCTAGAAAAGTCGGACTTACGACAACAAAGCTGGAGCAGACAAAGGTGATAACTGAAGATAATTATGACAAGGTTTCGGTATTTTCAATTTGCATACTAGTTTTGGATAAATTGACCAGAAGGAACGTTTGAAGGACTAGATTGATTTGATATTTGTGTGACAACTATCAAGGTTTATAAGAAAATTTCGTCTTGTGCTGAGAACGTATATGGACCCTTCCAACGTTGGTGTAATGATCTTCTGTTCGTTAACACCCGGTCTACATTATTACAAGCCCTTTATCATGCATATTCAAGGCCACTTTTTGCCTCACTGATTTTGCTTTTAATCCGTCTGCTCACATAAATACGTTTACAAAGTTGGCTAATGATTTAAGGGTTTTGGTATATTTTCAAAAATATAAAGTCGTCGTTAATTCACGCAAAATGTCAGTGATTGTCAGCATAAACCAGTTTTTACTTACCGTTCGATAATGAAACCATGACACCATTCTTCTAATCGATCAAGCCGTAGGCTCTTAGCTAAGGCGTAAACCTGCCGGACATTTGTTACAGTGAGGGTAATTTGCCCAGTGTAAATGTAAGATATGACCGTTTCAACTGTTCTGAAAAAACATATTGGGGTTAGCAAGTTGAATGTGCTACGTAGACCTACTGATGAGAGTAGGTTGGCCATGAAAGACGTGTATTGGCTTCTGTTGGAGGACCATTGAGACTCTCTTTTAGGTGTGGTACACGGGCTGAGAGAATGTGACGGTGAGCATTTACTGTTTCCTCGTCCTGCACCTATATTACCATAAAGTTAGAAGACAGAAAAGTAGTCTTACAGTAATCACAATATCAGGGTTATCGTTCGCAACTCTGAGGGCCTCGAGCTCTGGGCAAACCGTACTGAGGGGTATAGCATCCTTAAATTCAACAGTATCGGGCAAAGGTGACCTCATAGTAGGATGTTGAACAAGCTTGGTGCGCAGCCGACCACTTGTGTGCTGATCGCAAAAACTGGAACGTATACACTGAAATATTTGTACTTTCACCAGTCATATGAAAGCAGGCTAACCGGTTGCGAAGTTTATGTGTGTGTAAGCACGCTTTATTAACCAATCACTGCAGTATGTGAGTTAAGTTAACTCATTTATTGGTGAATGGTTATGAGGGAGTACTAAGTTGGAGAAGTAAACACCGCAATGTGTGCACACTGATCTGTCTGTCGTTTTAAAGCAATGGGACTACGAACAACGGTGGTTAGGGCCGTAAACGAGACATATAATCAGTATCCGAGGTGTAGAAGAAGAGTCGAGCACTGGAACACTGTGTTTATTGTCCTGAGCTTTCAGACTCGCACAGGAGTCCATCGTCAGAGGTAGCAGAAGCAGCAGCAGCAGCAGCAGAACAAACGACAGTTATACGGCACGCAGGCCAATCATCGACCGACGACACAAAACTGGAGGTGACTACGCAGTGCTCTGTATGCCGGCGCCAGATCGGCAAATCGATTGACCGAGTTCTCAACCAAGGTCCAGGCTTCAATCAATTCTCGGCCTTTTTCGTGGTTTGATCAGGACAGGGGATCCTGATAAAGAAGGTGTTTAAGGCTTGTGAACTGCCGTCGTTGGCCATGTTGGTCGTCCAGGCTAGGCGCGTTAATGCCAGCTCGTTTGATACTCAGGATGTGGGGGTGGCTATTTGTGGATCCACCTCATGATCGTAGTAGGTCCCTTCACTTGAATGCAGGCATTGGTCACATCCAGCGTCCATTAAGTGGCACTTAACTCATATGCGGCTCCCGGAAGCTAGACTCTGCCTAGCAGCCACATCCTGGTAACTGCCTGGGCTAATGGGCCAAACCTGGTGAGGGTATCAGCGTGTGTATCCGCACATACGGCATCTCTGCTTCCATCGCCCTCATACCCCTACCTCCCTCCCCCCACCTCCGAGGCCCTACGGAGCGGGCACCAATTAACGACTCGCAATCACCAAGACGAGACTCCGTCTGAAACCCCGCAGAAGGCCGCAAGTTAAGCGACCACCATGTAATCTAAATACCGCCATTTTAATACCGTGCTGTTGGGTCTGTCTGCTCACCGTCCATATATCCGCAATCTGTTAGCCCTGCGAGGGAAGGAGAAGTATGCTTTTTGTGTCTCTACCCTTCCACCACCCACCCTGCCCCCCATACACTTCAAAAGTTATACTGACAGGGCGACTTGAAATCACGTTGGTGGCCCAGGCTACCTCGGGTCATTCTACCAATAACTAAGTCGTGGCCCATAGCGGAGTCCGGCCGCCGTCTGAGATGTCTAAAGAGCCCTATTTGGGGACAGCGCTGCTTGCCCCCACGGGGAGGAGGTGTTTAGACAAGTTGCCCTAAACAAATGCTGGGATCAAGTCATCTTCGCTAAGACCGTGACTCGATGTGAAACAAGTGGTCGGCACCAAAAACAAAAAAAAATACTTCCACTATTTTTCCTCCTCCTAACCGCCGCCCTACCCCACAGGCTGGTAGGATGAGTCCGCTCACTCTGGACATTCAGAATGTTCGTTACCTTTTTGACAACCCCGGGAGTAACTGACCGAAACGGGAGACGGCGCCGGTCTCTCAAGAACTGGCGCGCTATTAGGTGAACATCGCTGCACTCAGTGAAACCCGATTCTCTGAGCAAGGCCAATTGGTGGAGGCTGGTGACGGCTACACCTTCTTCTGGAGCGGTCGCCCCAGAGCAGAACGACGGGACGTGGGCGTCGTCTTTGCCGTCCGGAAGGACATCGTTGGACAACTGCCCTGTCTGCCGCAGGGCACCAACGATCGCTGATCAGCCTCCGCCTGCCTCTCAAGGGAGGCAAATTCGCCACCATCGTCATCGTCTACGCTTTCCCGATAAACAGCTCTGACGCAGCAAGGAGCAAATTCGACAAGGACCTGCATGGACTCCTGGCGACCGTGTAGAAGGCGGGGAAGTTGACTGTCCTTGTCAAATTCAGCGATCGCGTCGGCGAAGACCATGCTACCTGGAGAGGAGTGCTGTGTCTGCATGGTCTGGGCGGCTTAAATGACAATGGCTCCCTACTCTTGCTAACTTGCGCAGAACATCGCCTCATCCTGACCGGCAATTTCTTCCGCTAAGCGGCGCGGGAAAGGCGACCTGGGTGTACCCTCGGTTTCCTCAGTGACACCTGCTGAACTATATCATCGTCCAGAGGCGAAACCTCCGGCACGTGCTGGCAACAAAGGCGATTCCGGGTGCCGACGTGTGGACCAACCATCGCCTCATCATTTCCAGGATGAGGGTTCGCCAACAGCCTCGCTGGAGACCTCAAGGTGAGCGACCCCCAAGGAACTTGAACATTGCTTTTTTGTCGTTGCCTGCACAAAATCACCATTTCAACAATGAACTAGCCCAAAGGCTATCCAACTATCCATTCGCCGCCACGAGAATGCCCCTGTGGGAAATCAATTGTGTCAACTGCGGGACACAATCCAGTCAACCGCCCTGGCTGTCCTAGGCGCGCACGTCGACAACACCAGGACTGGTTAGACAACAATGACGCCGCCATCAGCAATTTGCTCGCCGAAAAGAACCGACTGCACAAAGCCTACGTCAACCGCCCTACCGACGACAACAAAACAACCTTCTACCGTTAGTCGCAGTCTCGTGCAATATCGGCTGCGGAAGATGCAGGACACTTGGACAGCTCGGAAGGCTGAGGAGATCCAAAGGTACGCGGACCGCAACGAATGGAAGAGCTTGTTCGCCGAGATCAAGGCTGTCTACGGTCCCACAGCCAACGGACCCGCTCCTCTTCTCGGTGTCGTCGGAACTACCTTATTCAATGAGAAAGTGCCAGTTCTGAAGCGCTGGGTCGAGCAGTTCAGAGGCATCCTCAGCCACTTCTCTATCATCTTATATGTCCTATCGACCGACTGCCTCAATTGGAGACCATTGCCGACCTTGACCTCCAGCCCTCTCTCCACAAAGCAATCAGGGCCGTGCAGCAAAGCTCCAGGGCAAAGGCGCCCGGATCAAACGTGATCCCTGGTGAGATTTACAAGCACGGTGGCCCCCACCTTATGAATCAGCTGACAGCGCTCTTTCGGGTGATGTGGCGTCAAGGGAAAGTACCTCATAATTTCAAAGACGTCAAACTCTACGAGCAGAAAGGGGACCGCCAACTCTGCGATAACCACAGAGAAAACTGACAATAGCCTTTGACAAGGTGAATCGTGAAGAACTGTGGAAAGTCATGCGGAAATTCGGCTGTCCCAAGCTCAGATGGTGCGTCAGCTCCACGATGGCGTAATGGCTAGTGTCACGAACAATGGAGCTGGCCCAGAGACCATTGGAGTGAGGCAGGGCTGGGTCCTCGCGCCTAACTTCTTCCGTCTCATGCTCTTTGGCATGGTAGTGGACGCCTACCGTGATGAAAGTCCGGTGATACGCGTTGCCTACAGGACGGACAACCAACTCGTCCGTCAGAGGCGGATGCACTTACAGTGGCGTGTACCCACAACCACCGTCCACGAACCTCTCTTAGCCGACGATTGAACTCTCATGCCGCCACAGAAGGGGACATGCAAAAGAGCATGGATCTCTTCGCCGCCGCATACGACGACGTCGGTCTGAGCACCAACACAGAGAAAACGGTAGTTGGGCACCGGCCACCACTAAGCGCTGCTTACTATACATCTCACATCAACGTGAACGGCTCCCAACTGCAAGCCGTAGACGGCCTCAAATATATGGGCAGCACCCTCTCTCATAGCACCGAAATCAACGACAAAGTGGCCTCCCTGATTTCCAAGTACAATCAAACCTTCGGACGCCTGCAGAACACCGTCTGGAATTTTCATGATCTGCATCACAATGCCAAGCTCGAGACTTACGAAGCGGTTTTCCTGCCAACTGCTGCATGGGGTGGAGACCTGGAAGGTTTACATGATACAGGTGCAAAGGCTCAACCGTCTCCATCTCAGCTCTCTTCGACGAATACTGAAGCTGAGATGGTAGGACCGGATCCCAGACACGACCGTACCGTAACGGACAGGAAATCTCAGCATCCACGCCATGCTGAGACAACTGCACCTGCGCTGGAGCGGCCACCACGTGCGGATGGACGACAAGTGGTTACCCAAACGGCTCTTCAATGAAGATGTCGCCACCGGTTCCCGCCGGCAGGGGGATCAAGTGCGCTGCTGCAACGATAACCTGAAGACGTTTCTGAAGAGTCTGCAGACCAAACTGGTCAACTGGGAAGACTTCGTACGGGACCGGCCGGCCTGGAGGTTGACAGTGGAGGCGGGAGCAGCGATCTATGGAGCCAACCGCGTAACTGTCACTAAAAGCAAACAAGAAACTCGTAAATCCCAAGTGCCTCTACCACGCAACGCCAACCTGCCCACCATGCCAGCGGACGTTCCAGGCACCAATCGGTCTCGTAGGACATCTTCGGACGCAATGCGCAAACAACCTGGTAATGCCTATTCTCCTCCCACTCTCACCCCTGCCGCAAAACCCGCGCACAACTTCACCTCCGTCACTGCCGATAACAGAGTCGCTGCCCCTGGACACCAGCCACCGACCTCATCCGCCCTGCCCCAACCCCTGCGTTGACCACAGGGACCAGCCCCACCAACATCACGAAATCACGCACTCCCCCCGCCGATTGTATGAAGTCCGACGTCCCATCACCTGTTACCATCATCATCATCATCATCATCATCATCATCATCATCATCATCATCATCATCATCATCATCATCATCATCATCATCATCATCATCATCATCATCATCATCATCATCATCATCATCATCATCATCATCATCATCATCATCATCATCATCATCATCATCAACAACAACATCATCATCATCAGCACTTCCATTTCCAGCGATTTGGACTCGGTCCTTACCTTCACCTAACACATCGACCTGCGAATCCATTTCAAAGAGACTGGCGAACCAGTGCCTGGAGCATCAATCTACACTCGCAGCACTCGCCTCCACTGTCCACACTGCCCCCGGACATTTAATCACCCATATGGTGCATGGTCATATGGGCATTTATGGAAACCTGCGGTAAACAACAACCGGCCACACCACACCAACGCACCTTCCCCACCTGAACCACCTAGGAAAACCCATCACAAGCAAATGGTGGTACGCCAGGGTGTGGGTCCGGGCTCACCAGCCACCTGTGCCCTCTTCCCCTTCGGTCTTTCTGACTGTGTCCTAACACCGGACTCAGGTGTGGGAGAAGAGAGTGCGGTAGATGCCACGCAAGCCTACTCTCACTATAAACCAACTCATGTGCAAGTCACCGTGCCTGCTTCACTTTGCTGTGGAGCACACGGTAGGCATCGTTGGCTGCGACAGTCAGTCTGTCGTTTGGTACTGAATCTCTGATGGTAGTTTGGAGTATGGCTGACAAAATATGCATTTGATGGAGTCGCATAGACTTCGGATCCAGCACCCGATGCCGTTATGACCTATGTCTGGCGAAGAATACACTGCTCAAAAAGATATGCGCAACATTTATGTAATTTACGTGGAGGTCAACGACTCGAGTACAGTTGCTCAACACAAAGTTTCTCACCCCAAGGAAGTCTTCTGGCTGCAGATTTGTAACTGACATAAAAGCAGTCTTAAAAACTTTGAATCGAATTCCTTCGGTGATCTAGGCATGCGATCCTTCTAGATACAAAAAACAAACCTAAAGTCGGGTCAGCATCCAATATTTGAATTACAAGTGGAATGGATCAAAAATGGAAAGAAGACCAAGGCGCGATCACTGGCATAGTTGCTTGTTTAACCTGAGCTTTCTAAATCGGACAGGAGTTTACCATCCGAGAATGTTGGAGTCCAACAACGAATAAACATCTATACAGCCGTACATTGAGGGGTTTGCATTCATGGCCAGATCTGGTTCGAGCCACCTCGCCACAGAACGCATTGCGGCAGAGCTAGACGTGGGCACCGCCCATCGTCCGGCGGCTTCCATGTGTACCAGAACCATGAGAATGAAAGATCAAGAGGACGCAAGGTGGCAGTCGGGCGTTTCATAACTGTCCTTACCGTCATACAGGCCAAACATAATGCTGCATCAGCTCGAGAATACTCGAGCACTCGAGAGGCGATCCACTTTTTAAAGTTGCCACTCACACGCTGGAGGTAGGCCACGAGTTCGATTGCGCCAGATGGCGCGGGCCGTCAACAAGATGGAACCGGAACTGTTAGAGGCGTAGGCGTCAGACACCAATTACATCAATATGCATACTGACTACGCCCGTGCTATTACGCGCTACGCCCACGCAGCTAGGTCGCACGGCTCACATCGTAGACAAGGACAAACGCGGTCACCGCGCGCTGTTATCATTGTAGGCTGGGCGGCACGACCCAGGCCTAGCTATGGACGTAAACAACACTCCCCTCCCAACCATCACGCTACTATTGTATAAGTATTCACACGTTGTTGCACCTCAACAGTCTCCGATTATGAACTCCTGTTCGACTACCAAGGGTCAGGCTAATAAAATTGCCGTCCTAGTGATCACGGCTTCGTCTTCGAGTTAACAAGAACACGGGATGCGCATAATCTCTTCCATTCGTGAGATCACCAAATGTCATGTGATTTACACGCAGTAATCTAACCCTGGAATTTCCGTATTATTATCCTAGTGTGAATTTAATTTCGACGGTATAAATCACTTAATTTGTTTAATATCCACTTCAACTATTTCTTCTTTATTTTTCTTAATTTACGCGCTTCCCATAGAAAAAGACTTCAGTGAGGCTTCTTTAATACCGTAACTAGATGCTGAGCTCATGTCTGTGGTTGCTGAGGAATCCACGAACGAAATAATGATAGGAGTAAGCGGAAACAATACGTTTTAAAATAGGCGGTCACATTGCTCGTTTGGTACAAATTAAAAACGTCGAAGAATTGGACGTATTTAATGCAAATTTAAGTCAGTTTAAAATGAAAAACATGCTCATGTTCTTGTAATACCTTTAAAAACGTTCTGTTGATCGCAGTTGGTGAAACCGGTCTAACTTATTTCAACAAGCAGAGCTAAGGCGTTTATTTAGTAATAGGAATGCTTCTTCTGCTCCAATCATGGTCACCAATCGCAATTACAACTCATCACTAACAAGGGGTGCTTATTACCGCAGGACAAGTCACATGACAATAGGGTGACCAGACTAAAATCAGCAAAATTTCGTTTAAAATTGAGAACAGTTTGGGGTCAGTTGGTTCAGATATGCTCCAACATGGTCTGTAAATTTTGATTTGTGCTTTATCTATCAGCCATATACATGCATTATCATAACGGCTTCGACCTTGATTAAATCAGTTCTCGTCCTAATTGAGAAATGATATACACGTATATGGAGCTTATTTGATAAATGAAATACTCAGTAAGAATCGAGAGAATATCGTAGATCGAAGGACTTTAAATTCACACATTCCAGTAAGACAGTCTTAAATGGACACGATATAAGATACACCAAAAAGTGCACCAAACAATTTACTCGGGGTCAGTTAACACTCTATGTTGTCGAAACAAGATCCCCCTATTCAAAGACAAACTAATTTCACGCACGGCTTATCAACAAGGTCACATGTCTTCCAATCAAAGGTACAGTTACGGCAAATACCGTCATTACGGTGGTTTGAAACGTATGAGAGTGATTTATCTCATTCTTCACTTTAAGGCATCCAAAAGAGAGGATTCTGGGAAATTTACAAATTGGGAGATGCAAGGCGGAAAAAAAATCCCAAAACTGGTGACAGAGTATAGAATACGAACTCTCAAAATTCCGATGAACAAGATCAAGAGTTGCAATATCAGGAAGCCATCTTTTTCGCAGTTTTGATGTCCCTAATTCCGGTTTCCAACCAGCAAAAACCTCAGAGTTCTGACCTAGCAGTCTTCGCATAGCTGTAATTTTTTGTGTACATAAAATGTCGGGCAACAACCTACTTTCTGGATTTTAGTAAAACGTCTTTTTGTGACATCCCGCGCTTGTCTCTGAAAACAACATTTTAACGGTTAGCTTGTTGGGAGTGGCCTAGTAAATAAAGCTCCAAATGTATATTCCCCAGTAGGCAACATTAGGTTCTTTAATCTCAGCAGAAACCAATTAATTACCCCATCAGAATAAGGGAAGAAAAAGCACCGAAAAGAGTTTAGTCTATGCACTTGTCATGCAGAAACGCACATGGAAGACAAATGCAGGACAGGCGCTCAACGCGCATTTTTAAAACGGCCTACAGGTACCGGGCAGTCTTCAAATACGATGAGTTTCACACAACACTCATTAAATAGATCACAGTTTACATGCATACTCCGCCTGACGCGTAAATTGCCGAGGCCAACGGTGACCTTGACACAGATTTCCCTATTTTGCCTTGGTCTGTGTTGCTCTCGTCTTCCTTGGCGTTGACAATATTAAGCATATCTAATGTCCTCACCTCGAGTGAATCTTTTCAGACAGGTCCGGAAGGTCACGCAAAGTGTGGGCTGGTTTATGTGACCGTTGACTGAGCGATCGGCTGATATCCACCTTTCGTGCATTTGCCCCAAGACGGCATAAACACACCCGGCTCAAAATCCAGTGTGGTCAAATTCGGAAATACGACCTGTCAGCGCAGCGTTTGTTGCTGCTTCATAAATATCCGTATATCTCGGCGGGCTTCCGGATTTATTTATCATCTTATTCTTTGAAAAGCAAGGTATTAGAATGCGTTTCTGCTCACTGATACAGTCTAGTTTGCTGAGTTGCTGGAGACTGCTGTTGCAAATCGGCCCTCACAGCGTGCTGGACGTCTGTCATGAACAGTAGTTGACATTTCGATTGTAGGGAAATGAGGGTATCTCAAATTAGAACTTTGTCGTCTATTTCTACCTCCATCTTAAATTGTAGAGTTGGAATTAGTGCGTTCCACCTTCCTCTACAGAGTCCAAACTTCTCTTGGTCTACGATGACAAAGTGGCCTTAACGGAGTGTGCCCGAATGTGCGTTAATAAAGCTCGGATATTCGTGTTTCAAAGACCGTCTTAAAAAGAAGCGTGAGATTGGTGAGCTCATACAGGTGGTCTTGTTTGCTTACATTGGGTTCGTTTAATGTGAAAAATGTCCCCAGTTTGTTTATTTAAATCTTTCAGAAATCTTAAGTTAATTCGACCCAGTTAGGAGAAAATTAACGCCCTCGATGGGATTCAAAACCACGACAGCAAGGACAAGGCCTAAGTAGACCAACGGTAGTATTCATCGGATAGATGTTGAGTTTATTGCTTAGGAACCTCTGCCTGGGCAATCGGTGTATTATATTAGATTTGATGGAGTTTAAAGTTGGACTGGGCGGGACGTGTAACTTTACTCAAATATTATAAAACTCATTGTTTCTGCTGGCACCTTTTAGCTCGGGTGGTTAGAGCGTTGGTTGTACTCAAGTCCCATCCTTGCTCTTTTGTCTTTTAATCCCATTGAGGCCGTCAGTTTTCTCATAAGTGGTCAAATGAATCACTCAAATCTGTCAGAAACACCTATTGAATCCTAAGTAGGGTGCTGGCCGTTGTACTCCCCTAGGTTTCTACCAAACAGGCCGCAAAGCATTTAGAATGCCATGGTCTGCCACAAGCATGTAGAGACGAAAGTTAGTTTTCTGTTGATATCCGCCAATGTTTGTTTTCATGCGCTGCGCATTTGGAGTGCGATAGTGTCTGGTGTGGGGCCGACACCAAGTGAGACTATTCCTCCGTTGCTGCATGGCCGTCCGCATGTCAGCCCACCATTCCTTGTTTTTATTTGTCCATCGCTTTCAACACCCCTAGACTGGTTTCTTATCTATCAATTTCTTTTATAAATTCGTAATGACATTAGACACATGAATGAGGCGTCACGAATTTTTTTGACACCATTTTGTCCTGCAAATTGTT